TTATTTTTAATTTTAAATAATTTATGAGAAGGAATTAGTCGAGGGTGCGGTCAAAAAAATACAAAAAAATTAAAATATATAAATAATTTTAATTTTTGCCGACGTTTCGACCCACTTTGCAGGTCGTCTTCAGGGCTTTAATTGTAAATACAGCCTACCATTCCATTACCGCTTTCAAAAAACTAAATGTCAATTGTCATCTATATATAGTACAACCTGTTTTTTGTTTCTTTATTATCATAACCTTGTTTTTTACATTTATTCTTACATTTTAAAGTATTCTTTTAAAATTATTGTTTTCTTATAGAGTTATTTATACTTAATAATCTATCCCAACAATATTACACTAATGTTACCCTATTAATCTTTCAATTTCTTCACTTCTTAACCTTTGGTCCCGTTATCTGTTTATTTACAATTAAAGCCCTGAAGACGACCTGCAAAGTGGGTCGAAACGTCGGCAAAAATTAAAATTATTTATATATTTTAATTTTTTTGTATTTTTTTGACTGCACCCTCGACTAATTCCTTCTCATATCATATCAACGGTCAACCATCTCTACATCATTTTAAATAATTTATATTTAATATTAGATTTTTAATATTAACTTCATTTGATGGATCATTGTTTAGTTTTTGATCAGATTAGCATTTAACCTGAGTCATGGAAAATCACTCTTTAACTCTTGAGATTATGTTGCTTTAAGGTTAGAACAGGAACTTTATTTATGAAAAGCAAGATATATCCCTCAATAATTATCAAGAGTGTTAACACTTTGCCTGTGGTTATGGTCCCCTTGTTTAGATATTCATCTCAACTTGGGCCGGGATTGTTTCGAATTTTGCCAATCTTACGAAGTTTCTAAAATGGTAAGTTTTAAAAATATTTCAATGGGAGTCGGATAGATGTAAAGATAGGTATAAACGTAAATAATCATTATATCTGTTAATAGGGTGTACAAAAAAAAAATATCCGTTTTTCAACCAAATATTTGTATTATTATTTCTTTGATATAAAATACAATGAATACTCAAAGTATAGTCCATTGTTTAGTTAGCCAATTGTTTGATCCCACACTGATACCATTCTTTGGGATGGCTGTCAAAGAACTCTTGGATCGCAATTTCAATTTCCATAAAATTATCAAATTTTTTTCCTTGAAGAAAATGGGCCATGGATCTAAAAAGTAGTAATCCGATGGTGTGAGGTCTGGACTATATGGTGGATGAGTCAGGAGTTCGAATCTATGAAGTTTATTAAAATTTTCTTTGGTTCTACGGGAAGTGTGAGGACGAGCATTATCTTGTTGGAATAAAATTCCTTTTCGGTTGATCGAAGCACGATAACTCTCTGACAACTTCCAGTTATTCGGAGTTGAGTTCAGAATTCATAGAGCATCCATCAGGAACCAATTCGTGATGATAACACCTTCAAAATTCCAAAAATGGATTTTTTTTCAAATTGCTTCATTGCAGCAACCGGAAAACAAGTTTGACCATGATCTAGCCATTGCTCACGAATATTCAGATTTCGCTAGTAAATCCACTTTTCATCACAGGTGACAATCTTCCGGTCAAATCTCATATCAGAAGGGTTTTTCAAAAAATTTTCATAAATTTCTAACCACTTAGCTGATTGCTGAGGAGTAAGTTCGTGAAGGACCAGTCTACTACTCTTTTTCACTTTCCCCATGGAGAGTAGATAGCGACTAACAGTATCTTTTGACACACCACACTCCCTGGCAAGTTCGCAAGTACTTGTGGACGGGTTTGACTCAACAGCTTCCTGCAGAATCTCAGTGACTGTGAAATTTTTTTTCAGTAATGCCTTAAAATTATGAGAATTTGGTTGGACACTGTCATGTTTCTTCTTTGAAACAAATAACTAAACTGATAATTTTTTTGAAGAAGTCAAATGGGATTAAACAAGCTTAGAGAATGCCTTAAAGGGGTTATTAAGTATTGAATAGGATCAAAATATTTACAGATTTCGAAACCTTGTATTTGATAAAACAGTAATTTTTTTTTAATACATCCTATTATAAAGCTATAGGATGTTGGGACCATAACTGCAGCTAACGTGTTAGTGAATAGTTTAAAAATAATTTCCTGATGAATAGTTTAACAATAATTTCCTGATTTGGTCTAGAATTTTACAAAAGGTTTATTACTTTGAATTATTTGTTATTTCATGTTTATAACGAAAACTGATTGCTTGTTTCAGCATAAGTGTTACATTGTGGCTACAAATGATAAAGATTTAAAAAGAAGAATAAGGAAGATCCCTGGTGTGCCGATTATGTACATTAAACAACACAGGTTATTAGAAAGCTTCCATGTATATTCTATATATTGTTTGTTGCATTATTTAAAAATTCCTAATTATGCATATTGTTTTTAATCAGGTATACAATTGAAAGGATGCCTGATGCTTATGGAGCTCCTAGAGAATAAATTGTCAATTGCTGAGCCTGGAATCGCCCTGAAAATCAGAATCAAATTTTATTTTTGAAACTTGATTGTAATATTTATATGTAAATATTTATTGTAAATATTCAATTTTATTTTGTAATTTTACTTTATTAAAAAAGATTACAATTTGATTTTTTTTTTCTTTTTTTATAATTCTTAAAAATAATTTATTCTAAACGTAATTTTACTAGGTAAGTATAAAAATTGAGATTGGAAATTTAAATATCTAAGTTTATTTTCAATACAGTTATTGAGAGAAACATTTCTTTAGCAAATTAGGTCTTGTCTGAAATCCTAAAGCAAAAAAAAAATTCTTTTGGATTTCAATATTTGCATAGCCAGATTGAAGATGGTTCAGTTGATCATACTATTATAATTTTTAAAACAAAATGGGAATAGTACGAATTTTCATTTAATTTTTAGGTTTCTAAAACAAGCCTGGTAGAATGGAATGATGCAGAATTCATATTTATCCATTTTTGTTGGTTTTCGAAGGGCCTATATTTAAAAAAATATATATATATATATTATTTAACTTCTTGACATTTATTGAATGCAATGATAAAGTCTGAATTTAATACAACTCTGCAGTTTTTAAATAATTACTCTGCTGATATTAAATGATATAAGTGCAAACAATAAATTTGGAATATTATTTTTTTTTTTTAAGATTCATTGATTGTGTACCATAAACTGCAGTATTAAATTTTGCATAATAAATAAAAACAGAAGATTTTTTTCTGCTGATTATCCTTATATATTATTTCTGAAAGGTAATTTTTAGTTGGTTTGCCATTTCTATGTTAATGCTTGATCAAAGTCAATATGATTGAATGAAACATCATTATGAAAATTATCTCGTCGGAAAAATAATCACAACCCCCAGAAATTTTAGAAAAAATGTTATGAAGAAAAAGGAACTTTATTTGTGCATAATTCAATAAATATGTATTTTCATACAATTTTTCATAAATTATACCCATGATTATTTGAAATATTGTTAAATTCTCTGCGAAACAAAAATCAGACTAAATTTTGTAGAAATACAGCCAATTATAAATTTTAGTCATGTTTAGATTTATTGTTTTGAATGAACTATAGTAATTAACCAAAAAAAATAAAATGAATTCATCCATCTTATAATACATTGACTAACTTAATTTCATATCATTTTGGTATTTGTTCACTGATCAATATACTATGTGGATTTTTTATATGAGCCAAATTGTTATTTATTTTAGCCATGAAAAAAAAAACAGACAAGATACTTAAAAATAATTAATAACTATAAGGAAGACAGATGAATTGTGTATCAAGAATTGCAGATTTATTTTTAAAATATCTGGTATGTCCACTCAAATGACATTCCGAACTATTTCAGAAAAGATTTTATATCTTTATATATGTTCATTAAGAATCTTCCTAGATAGATATGACTCCTTAAGTTGTATGAAACCCAAATAAAAAAAAAAAAAAATGTTCATTAAGAAACAAAAAAAAATTGAACTAAATTTATTTTCCTGAAAATTGATCAAACAAAAGATTTTAGTATGATTTATTTGATAGACTAAAGCAATAAAACCAGCTTAAGGTAGATCAGTGTAAACATTTCAATAACCACTAATATTGCTGATCAAAAACTTTTTGCCACAGCTTAGTATTGTCAAACAATAATTTCTGTTAAAAGTAGAGGGAATAGTGAAGATTGTGTGATGTGGGCAATAGATTTTCTTACTTTCACTTCGACATCTTTATTCTCTCATTCACCCTTTTCTGACACCAGGAAATGAACTCATAATCATTCATTGGAAATTGAATAGCTGTAACTTCGTTAATAGTTGTCCAAAATGAACGATTTTTATATGGCTTTGTAGGGAATTTTACTATCTTTCAAAGGATAGGCTTAAAAAGGGTTAAAATTTTCGGACTCAGGGGGCTGTGAAACGTATAGATCCGTCAAAAACAGCATGTCCGAAATTTGACTGGATTGCAATACTTTCCTTACCTAGTATAGGTAGGAAAGTAAAAAGTTAAATTCAATACTAAGGTATTTTCGCCATTAAAATACGAAGAATTGCAAGGGATCAGACACCAAAACTTATTAGCTTAAATGGAAAAAAATTATGTTTGTACAATTTGGTGTTAAATGAATTAAAAGATACACTGGAGCTTTGGCTGCTCTGAGTCCTGTTATTCAATAAGAGTTGAAGTGTCCCCCCTTCATAAAACAAGTTGATGAATTCAAAGTGAAAAAGCTGTTAATGTCAATATTTGTTTTGAAAATTTATGATGGAAGAAAAATCATTGTATCATGATAAAAATTATCATGAAATAATTTAAAAGCAGATGTCAAACAAGTTTTTGATTTTCTGAAAATTATCTATTCTGTATAAATGTTTCCTTTAAGATCGTTTTAATGTAGTTAAAAATACTGTTGTTAACATTAATTTTAATATTTATTTTCATTTAAATAATCATTTGAAAATTATTTATATATTTTTTACTACATTGGCCAGCATTCGTATGCTATTTAATCGAACATTCGGTAGTTGGTAACACTGTTGCCATTAGCAACACTAAGGTTAAGTTTATAAAACTAACGTGGGCCTTTACCACTAGATTTTTGTGATTTATTAAATTGACATTTTTCAATAAAAAATGACGCATGCCGCTGGAGATGGACACAGGTCACACAGTAATGTCTATAAGGACAAAAGTAAACCACAAGATGTTCGAACCAGCAACATGACTGCGGCTAAAGGTAAGGAACACCGGTTCCGAATAAGTTAAATATTTTAATTTTAAAATGATATCCATACAATTTGAACTCGAAAATCCAACTAATTTAAGGTAAATAATAGAACCAATATCCTGAATCTAGCTTTCATGACTGATTAATTTATTTTAATATTGACTAAACTCCGTTGTAAAATTTATCAATTTACCCTTGAAGCATGTAATTTTGTAGAAATTATGTATTTTTATTTCTTAATTTATCTATTGTAACTTTCGTCATACTAGTATTCTCTGTAGTTTTTTTTTTTCATATATCAACCATTAGATATTATTATCATTGCATTCTCACAATGGCATTTCTTAAATTTTATTTCCATCTGTATTTTCTTCTTATCAGTGGTCTAATAGTGTTTTTATTTAGGCCTTGCTGATGCTATTCGTACAAGTCTTGGTCCTAAGGGCATGGACAAAATGGTATGCTATAACATTTCATTCTCATTATCCTATTATATTATTGATTTATATAAGTTTTCAACACTACATATATTATTTTGTTTAATGCTAACAGATCCAGAAAGGAAACGGAGAAGTTACTATAACGAATGATGGTGCTACTATTTTACAACAGATGAATGTTATGCATCCTGCTGCTAAACTTGTAAGTTTCATAATTTATTATGATGTTCAGTTTTATAATTTAAAAGTTAATGCGAGGATATTTATAAGTGCAGTTGATCTTAGTGATTTAATACTAATTCAGCATGGTAAGTAATTTGTTTAAAGGTGTTTTACTGAACTCAAAACTACAATTTTTAAATATTTCTGTTTTTTTGGTGGATAGCAACAGAAAATAATTTTCCATCAGATTTTTAAATTCATAATCCAATGATCTTTCTTGATTATGATTTCATTCATTATCATATATTTTGTATATACTGTTTTCCAATCCATTTTTTGTGTTTTGTTACTTAGTGTATTAAACAATTGTGTATAACATATTTATTTTTTGTAAATTCAAATTAATTCATTTAATACCTTTTGCCTAGTTCTTTGTTCTGAAATTAATATATATCAATTGAATATTTCTTTAATTGGAAACAGTACTTTTTCTTTCTTTCATATTGTATTGTATCCATTGTTTTATTTTTAATTAACATTATTTTTATTTTCCACCATAAAAAATATATTATTTATAAGTATAATCTTATTTTTTAGTTGGTCGAACTGTCTCAAGCTCAAGATGTTGAAGCAGGTGATGGAACAACCACAGTTGTCATATTGGCCGGAGCCATAATGGAAGCTGCTGAAAAACTGATGAACCGTGGAATTCATCCAACAACAATTTCCGATGCATTCAGCATTGCAGTTGAAAAGGCCATCCCAATTTTAAGAGAGATGTCTATTCCTCTACAACAAAACGATAACGAAAGTCTTATCAGGAGTGCATCAACATCTCTTAATTCAAAGGTATTATTTTTAAGCTACAGTAGAATTTTTTTTTAAAACGTAATAGCTGTATTGTATTTATATCTTTATTATTATTGTTACAAGTGAACATCAAGATTTGTTTCCAAATCCTCTCTGATCAAGATACATTTTTAAATAAATATGTGTACATTTACAGTGTGGTTGGAGGGTTTGGAACCATCTGTAAATATCTTTATGTAGTCGAAGTTATGAGAATCTATTGTGTTGAGAGGTGATTGTTTTAAAACTTTAGAGTCATGTGACGATTTACAACAATGAATCATTGTTATCTTGAGATTACTTTAAAATTGTAGCATTCTGCTAGTAAATGAATGTTTCGGTTTAGGGAAACATTTGCTATATATACTGCTTGTAGCATATGTTGGATTTTAGTTATTAACTTATTTATAACTGAGGAATATATGTTTCTTAAAGTTATCGCTTTCTCAAGCGTTGCCTTAAAGTAACTGAAGTTGTTTTTCTGTATGTATAACATTTTTTTTTTTTTTTTTAAATTACCTCTACAATCTCAATGATTTGAACGCATTATTTATCTTTGGTTTCTTATTATTTTTAAAGAGATTTTTTGTTATCAATGGCTTTTTAATATTTCTTAACAAAAATACTAAAACCCATCTTTTGACTATTTTATTACATGTACATTTAAAATTTAATGCTGAAGTTATTATTTATTCAATAAGTTATATTTTTACTTTTTCAGGTCGTTTCTCAACATTCATCGATATTGGCTCCATTAGCTGTGAATGCTGTTCTTAGAATTACCGACCCAAAGAAAGACAAAAATGTCGACCTAAAAGTAAGTTGATATATATATAGATAGATAGATAGAAAGTAAACTTTATTCTGGGACAAGGTCCCTTATGAATAACAGATATGAACAAAAAAAAATAAAAGCTACATCTGGCCAAAAATTACATTAGTCAATATTAAAGAATATATACAGTATCTTCAGTGAAGTTAAATTAAAACAAGTAAAAATAAAACCATTTTGAGAAAAAACAAAATAAAAAAAACAAAACATTATTTAAATGAAAAGAAAAGAAAATATAATAAACACAGGTTGATTTTTAAAATTAAAACTCAACCAATTTTAATTCATATATATATATTGCAATATATGATATATATTTTTTGTTCATATGCAGTGCTTACTTGTCCAGTTATATATAATCCATATCCATTCAAACTGATGTTGAATGGGCCTCAAACCTGCATCTCACAAATCTTGCCCATTATGGCCTTTAACGATTTATTTATTTTAGCTTATGTTGTTATTGCTTTCTTTATGGCTATGTTTATATTTGTATTATTACTTACTAGCTGGTCCGTGCGTATAATTTCCATAATCATCATTAAAAAAATAAACTAATAAAATAAAACCTCTGCTTCTTTGGCTAATCTGTACACAATTATAAAATAAAACTTAAATTTTCAAAACCAATTTATGATATTCATGCTTGAATTTCAGACATTGAAAGACATCAAAAGATGACATATTAATTTCTTTAATAGTTTCTGCTGTATAACAAACACCTTTTTCAGGATTTTGATAGTTACAGATTAGCCAAAGAAGCAGAGGTTTTATTTTATTCATTTATTTTTTTAATGATGATTAATGTTTTAGGTTTTGGGAAAAAAATTTCAATACTTTTTTGTTATTAAATATTTATATAAGATTTATCTGTTTGTAGTTTGATTTGTAACTATTAATTTCATCTTTTCTTTGAAATATATAACTAATTTCAGTAATATTAAGTCAAAATTGGTCTCATTCAGTTTTGTATTTCTCTAAAACAGATGTGCGTATTCAACACCAAAATTTATTCTTATTTCGAATCCTCTAAAAGCACTTTCTTCGGTTTCTCATTACCATTGAAAGCCGTCGAATGAGGAAATAATAAATGTTATTTTTGTGGCTTTTGTAACATCGTTTACTTAAGTCAATCCAAGTAACAACAGTATTCAATTTTTATAGACATCAATAATTCTATTAGTAATAGGTTTATTCAATAGATGTAACATTTTTTCTCTGATCATTATTTAGATAATGACTTATTTTCTTTTGTTTTATTCTTTGAAGTAATGTATTCTCGTATGTTTTCTACAACTTTAACAGTTCATATTAAAAAATATGTCACATTTTTATTCTTTTCCTTGATTAATATCGCTATGATATGTGTGAGGCATTGCTTGTCCATTTCCAACACTTAAATAATATACTCAGCGTGCAATTTTAAAGTATAAGTCTTTAAATTATCAAATCCTGTTTCCAGATATAGTCAATTAAGAGTAAAATGCACCTTTGTAATTTTTCAATCTCCTTAAACTGTTGATAATTGCAGCATTGTGCCCCATAACACATGGTAGCTTGGACTGTAGACTTATATAAGTTCATTGTCACAAAAATTGTCTAGTGATAATAAAAATAATATGTATCTTAAATGTTTCTATCTATCATGGGTGATAAATAGTCAGGATACAGTCAGTTTATAAGATTTTTATATCCAACATTTCAACCGAAGCTTATGGTTAATCAAGGCATGTTACCAAAACTGGATGTGTTCAAGTTTTCACCATCATCAGTTATTTAATATTTGTATAAGATTTATCTGTTTGAAGTTTGATTTGTAACTATTAATTTCATCTGTTCTTTGAAATATATAAATTTCAATAATATTAAGTCAAAATTTGTCTCATTCAGTTTTGTATTTCTTCCCCTAAAACAGATGTGAATATTCAACAACAAATTTATTCATTGTTATTTGCTCAGCTGTATTATTTTTAACGATTCCTCTAAAAGCACTTTCTTTGGTTTCTCAATACCATTGAAAGCCGTCGAATGAGGAAATAATAAATGTTATTTTTGTGGCTTTTGTAATATCGTTTGCTTAAGTCAATCCAAGTAACGACAGTATTCAATTTTTATAGATTTCAATAATTCTATTAGTAATAGATTTATTCAATCGATTTAACATTTTTTCTCTGATCGTCATTTAGATAAATACTTATTTTCTTTTGTTTTATTCTTTCAAGTAATATATTCTCGTTTGTTTTCTACAAGTTTAATAGTTCGTTTTAGGAGAAAAATATGTCAATTTTTTTTCATAATCTTCTGAATGCATCCATGTTTTATTCTTTTCATTGATTAATTCAGCTATGATATGTACGAGGCATAGTTTGTCTATTTCTCACACTTAAATAATATACTCAACGGGAAATTTTAAAGTATAAGTCTATGAATTATCAAATCCTGTTTCCAAATATAGTCAATTAAGAGTAAAACGTACCTTTGTAATTTTTCAATCTTCTTAAACTCTTTATAATTGTGCCACATAACATGTGATAACTTGGTCTGTTGACGAACATAAGTTTATCGTCACAAAATTTGTCTAGTGATAATAAAAGTAATATGTATCTTATATGTTAAATAAATTTTTCTATCAATCATGGGTGATTAATGTAGTTAGAACACAGTCAGTTTATAAGATTTTTATATCCAACATTTCAACCGAAGCTTGTGGGTCATCAAGGCATGTTACCAGCACTGGGTGTGTTCAAGTTCTCACGATCATCAGTTATTAAATATTTGTATGAATATTCAACATCGAATTTATTCATTGTTTTTTGCTCAACTATATTCTTTTTAACGAATCCTCTAAAAGCACTTTCTTCGGTTTCTCAATACCATTGAAAGCCGTCGAATGAGGAAATAATAAATGTTATTTTTGTGGCTTTTGTAATATCGTTTGCTTAAGTCAATCCAAGTAACGACAGTATTCAATTTTTATAGATTTCAATAATTCTATTAGTAATAGATTTATTCAATCGATTTAACATTTTTTCTCTGATCATCATTTAGATAAATACTTATTTTCTTTTGTTTTATTCTTTCAAGTAATATATTCTCGTTTGTTTTCTGCAATTTTAATAGTTCGTTTTAGGAGAAAAATATGTCAATTTTTTATTCATAATCTTCTGAATGCTTCCATGTTTTATTCTTTTCATTGATTAATTCAGCTATGATATTTGTGAGGCATTGTTTGTCTATTTCCCACACTTAAATAATATAATTTACTCATTGTTATGTGCTCAACTATATTCTTTTTAACGAATCCTCTAAAAGCACTTTCTTCGGTTTCTCAATACCATTGAAAGCCGTCGAATGAGGAAATAATAAATGTTATTTTTGTGGCTTTTGTAATATAGTTTGCTTAAGTCAATCCAAGTAACAACAGTATTAAATGAAATGTTAAATAAATCTATTTTATAATTTAATCTCATTTTATTCTAGAGGTATGATTTTGGTTACAATACTTCAAAAGCACTAATTAAACAGTTAGGGTTAAAGTTAGCTTAGCAAGGGATAAATGTTTATATGTTTTGGGAGGAAATACATCATTGATAACTCTTGCAAAGAATTGTCAGTTTTGTGCATACTATTTTTATTTATAATAAAAAAAAAAATTATTTTATATACAACATAATAAGTTTTTTTTTTTCTCCTATGCCTAAGTAACCCCTGCTTGATCAGCCATGCGTGCTCTTGCAGTCCAATACAATTTTGCTTTCCTAGCATAAAGGCTGTCCATTTCACTAAAAGAACATCTTATGGCTTGTTATAAATGTATCAAGATGTTCTCCTGTCATAATATCCAAGGAACACAGAGGGCACATCAGGCTATCTTTTATACCGATGCGGTAGAGGTGCTTCTGAAGGCCTTGTGAGCATTCTAAACCTTGCCACGGCTTGCCCTCTAGGGAGGTCTCTCGGAATCCTGTCACTTTCTTCCAGCAATCCACTCTATCGCTTTCCTTCAATTGTTTGCGCATATTTCTCCTTCAGTGAACTTTCTAGTGTCTGTTTTGTTATTCTTTTCGTTGAATCCATGCCCAGAAGAATATCTGGTTGGACCATTCCAGAACCTATTCTGGCCAGTTTGTCAGCTTCATCATTTCCGTGGAGCCTGCAATGGCCTGGTATCGACTGGAAAGCGACTTCTGTCCCATTTTCCTTTAATTGGTCCAAGTACAGATGACATTTAAGGACATTTGGATTCATATTATATTCATTTTGGAGAGACATGGCTGCCTGTGAGTCAACAAAGAAAGCAACTTTCTTGTCTTTCTGTTCAACCAATCTCTCAAGGCCTAAGAGGATGGCTTTCAACAGTCATAATAATTACTTTACACGTGTTATGATTGCTATTTTTTATGCTGAAATCTATTTTGTACAGTAGAAAAAATCCAAATAAAAACCTACACAAATTATAAAAATGAAATTATTACATTAAAAAAAACTATATACTGTCTTTAAAGTGTATAAACGACGAGATAAAACTAAGCACACATTCACATATTTTGAATCTTATAAATTATTATTCAATAATTGGTGTGGGAAGTATGTTGTTACTCATTTATCAATATTTGTCATGGTTGGAGTATGTGTTTTGTCCGTTTGTGTGTGTTCTGTTTCATTAATTTCTTGTCATAGTTTCCTATTGTTTGGATCATGGGATTATCATAGAGACCTTGTTGTAAGCTCAAAGAATCTTTGTGTTTTAAAATAAATTTATTGTTGGTAGCTGTAATTACGTTAGTGGCTATTTTCGTGTATTGTGGGTAATTGTTTATGATTCTCATGCATATGTTTTGAATCACTTCAAGTTTTCTTTAGTTAGACTTACAAGTATAACTTCATACTGGGGAAGAATATGTGATTGATTATAGGGCAGATAAATGCTTTATATGAGATCAGTTTATTTTTTTAAGATTATTGAAATATGGAAACATTTAAATAATAATGTATTTTGTTTTATTACATTTGTTGTTTATATGCAGGGTGAAATTTAGGAACTTAGCAAGTTCAAGGGCTAAATATTTTACTGAATTGGACCATGGGATCTGTTTGTCTTTTATGAGTAGAGACCGGATTTTCATATTATTGCACATTTTATTGGCTTGCGTGTAAAAACCCCGGACCCGAATATGTATCCGTTTCAGGATCTGTAGAATAACATATTTAAATTTTATATTGCAGAAAATTGCATGTTTTGCCATTTTTGGCTTAAATTCCACGATTTTGATTTGTGTTGCATTAAATTGATAAATATAAATATATGTGCGTGTTTAAATATTTACTTTTTTATTTTATTATCTTGTCCATATTAAATTTATAATTTAAGAAAGAAGATGAGGACATGAGGAAGATGAAACAATTATGTGACGCAAAGAATCGAATTTAACTTTACAAAAAAACGAATTAAATACAAGCACAGATAAGACTATTCGTGGAATAGAACTTGTCTGAAATAATTCAATAAAAAATCTACCTTTCTGGTTTTGACTTGAGTTCTCACTCTTTTTTCAATATCCCCTTTTGGCTCTGAAGTGAATCGTAGAATGTCATGAATTCAGCATCAATAATTCCGAAAAATCACCATGTAACCTTTTAGAAAATTAAATTAGTGAATAGTTTGATAATTTTTCTTTTTGCGATATTCCAACAGAATCCACTTACAATTAGACTGACAACTTTTGACCTGTCTATGACAGACACTGCAAATCTCTTAATTCCATTTTAATAAACTTTGCAATGGAAAATAACAGTTTAATGACTTATAGTCGTACAATCCATAATCAATGGATCGAACAATCCATTATCAACGAATCGTACAATCCATAATCAACTGGTGATATAATAAATAGGACTTTTGTTATTTTAATAGCATTTGTGTTTTTTTAGCTTTAGCTCAGTTTAAAATGCAATTTAAAACATTTTATAATAGCCTAACATGACCAGAAAATAATTTTTATTCAAAGTTCAAAGAGTAAGTGAAAGTTGTGTGTTGCGCGCACTAGATTTTTTGATTGTAATTTGGATTTCAATTTTGCATTTGAATTTTTTTTTCTTGTGACAAGACATTTTAATTCATAAGCTTAATATAAGGTTTGATATGATTTTGATGTATTAATATTATAAATTAAATAAAATAGATAATTTTTACATGTTTTCAGCTGTAAATTAAGCAATTTTACATATTTTTGGTTTTTATTGCACGATTTTGCACATTTCGAGGTTCGGATTTACTGCACGTAGATCCGGTCTCTAGTTATGAGTTATGCTTGGTCTTCTTTCTGTGAAAATTATTGATTCTGTTTTTGTTTTTTTTCGTTTAGTTTTATCTTCCATTTTCCAAAGTATTTGATGAGTCTTATAAGGTGGAATTGTAGTCTTGTTTGCTATTGTGTCAATTCTAAAAGAAGATGATAATGTTTTAAAGATAATGTTTTCAATATTTTTAATATTTATTCAATTCTTACAGGATATCAAGATCATTAAGAAACTTGGAGGCACCGTGGAAGATACAGAACTCATTGAGGGCTTAGTCTTCACGCAGAAGTTGGCAAATATAAACGGACCAAAGCGTCTTGAGAAAGTCAAAATTGGTCTCATTCAGTTTTGCATTTCTCCCCCTAAAACAGATGTGAGTATTCAACACCAAAATTTACTCTTGTTACAAATCCTCTAAAAGCACTTTCTTCGGTTTCTCAATACCATTGAAAGCCGTCGAATGAGGAAATAATAAATGTTATTTTTGTGGCTTTTGTAATATCATTTACTTAAGTCAATCCAAGTAACAACAGTATTCAATTTTTATAGACATGAATAATTCTATTAGTAATAGGTTTATTCAATCGATGTAACATTTTTTCTCTGATTATCATTTAGATAATTACTATGTTTTATTCTTTTCATTGATTAATTCAGCTATGATATGTGTGAGGCATACCTTGTCCATTTCCAACACTTAAATAATATACTTAACGTGCAATTTTAAATTATAAGTCTATAAATTATCAAATCCTGTTTCCAGATATAGTCAATTAAGAGTAAAATGTACCTTTGTAATTTTTCAATCTCCTTAAACTGTTGATAATTCCAGAATTGTGCTCCATAACACATGATAGCTTGGACTGTAGATGAATATAAGTTCATTGTCACAAAATTCGTCTAGCGATAATAAAAATAATATGTATCTTATATGTTAAATAAATTTGTCTATCTATCATGGGTGATAAATAGTCAGGATACAGTCAGTTTATAAGATTTTTATATCCAAAATTTCAACCGAAGCTTATGGGTAATCAAGGCATGTTAACAGCACTGGAGGTGTTCAAGTTCTCACCATCATCATTATTCGTGGCTCTGCAACTCATGTAGAGTCAAGGCCTCCTGCAGCTTGGTCTGCCAGTCTTCTCTATTGGTTGCCGCTCCAATTACGGATATCCAAGATTGCCCTGACATCCACTGCCACTTCATGGATCCATTGGAGCTGAGGTCTTCCCACTCTTCTTGTCCCATAAATCCTTTCGTCCAGGACCATCCTAGGAATCCGATACTAGTTCAATCTAATCATATGACCTTCCCATCGAAGCTGTTCTACTTTAATTACCCTTACTATAGCTGATCTCTTTAATAATCTTGTTTGTTCAGCATTTGTCCTTATCCTCCAGATTCCATTGGCACAAACTGGGTCATAAATTCTTCTCAATATACTCCTCTCGGACTTAAAAAAAAAGGGCTTCCTGTGAACTAAATAATGTCCAGCATTTGGAGACATAAGTGAAAACTGGTCTTCTCAGGGTCTTGTACAATTGCACCTTTGTGCTTGAAGAGATAGCACTGCTCCTGAAATGCTTTAGTAATCAGGAATAGCATTTATTTGCGGACACAATTCTGCGATGAATTTCTGCTTGTATGTCATTATCCGTGTTTACTTGTATCATTTCACTTATGAACCAAAATAGGCAAACTCTTTCAAATGAAAAGCTTGCAGCTATAAAATATGATGGTTCATGTTCATTTGGGCCTGCATGCATATATTTGGTTTTTGATTCATTAATCTCTAAACCCACTCTAGCCGCTGCTATCTGGAACTGATGAAAGCGTTTTCTAAATCTGTTGGGGTTCTTTCAAAAATACCTAACTCATCGGTGAAGGCCAAAATCATACCTATTGAATATAGTTCCTCCGATTTATATTCTAGATTTCCGTATTGAAGAGCAGGCATGCGAGACAATCAGTCTGTCTCAGCTCTTTGTGGGTTTCAAAGATATTAGTCAGGTTACCCTGAACACACAGTATGCATTGCACCTTCTTCATCGTAGTCCTAATCAGACGTATCAGTTTCGGTGATATTCTCATTTCTAGAAGCTCCTGGTACAGCTCTTTTCTCTTTATACTATAATAGGCCATTCGAAAGGTGGTGTGTGTGGATATTGATACTCTATGCACCTCTCCGGAATGCTTTTGATGGAAAATATCTGATCTATGGTAGACTTTCAAGTTCTATAACACCCAAATTTCAATATATATCTCCTCTTCCCAGATGTGATTAGTCAGCACCAAATGTATTCATTGTATATTCACTATTAAGAATCCTCTGAAAGCACTTTTTTCGGTTTTCAATACCATTGAAAGCCGTCGAATGAGGAAATAATAATTGTTATTTAAGTGGCTTATGTAATATTGTTTACTTAAGTCAATCCGAGTAACAACAATATTTAATTTTTTAAAGCTTGAATAAATCTAGAAGTATTAGATTTATATAATCGATGTATCAGATTTATACAATTGATGTATTATTTTTTCTCTCTTCGCCATGATTATCATCAATATGACCACATTTAGTCACTTAAATAAAAAAAAAAGAAAACTATCACCACAATCCTTAGTTCAGTATTTTTTGAGCAAGTATTTGTTCAAGGACATATGGATCTCTATGCTTAACCGATATAGTCTGTGGTACGGACCCCTTTTTATCAAATTATTAATATCCGTCTTTAACTTAGTGAATAGCTTCATCTCATCATAACCTTCAAATATTTTATTAACATAATTCTCGGAATTGGGGCGTTTTCAATCTGGAAATTGGCAAACCTTGTCCATTTAATTAAATACATAAAATTCATGAGTACCCATTTGCTTTCCACTTGAATCGTAAGATAATATGATCACGAAAAAAGAAAAAAAAGGCATTAAAAAATATTGGGCCATTTGGCCTGTATAACCTTGTTAGGTCACGCCCCAAGCGTCCTACTATGTTTGTAGCAACATTTTTTTTTTCAATTTTGTGATCATATTATCTTAGATTCGAGTGGAAAGCAAATGAATTTTTATTATCTTAATTAAATAGACAAAGTTTGCTGATCTCCAGATTGACAACGCCCCAACTCCAAGAATTTTCGTAAAGTTAATATTTGTTGATTACGATGAGATGAAGTTAATTATTAATAATTTGATAAAAAGGGTTCTATACCTCGGACTAGGTTTTCTCCCAGTAAGGATTTTATAGAGGACGAGTATGCACCTGGATGATCTCTTGTCTGGTTGATCTATAGTCTGGCTTGAACTCAAGTTTCAAAAAATAGGGGCTCAGTGCCATACTCACTTGACTAGCACCTCTGTTCTTAAAAATCATTAAGCAAATATTTCTTTTTTTGTTTTAATAATAGTTAGAAGTAATTATTAGTATTACATTAAAAAAAAAAGTAAAATGAGTCTCCTTGATTTAAAGATTAGTTTATGACACTAATTTTTCTTTGTATAACAATTTATAGTGCTAACAATTTATCATACTTGAAATATTTAATAAGGATGAACCAAAATATTTATATTTTTTTCTAAGAAAATTTTCTTTGAGTCAAAGTTTCAGCTTATGTTTCAGGCATTCACATAGCTACTTGTCTCACATCTGCTGAACGAGCAGCTCTGATGAATGCCTGAAATGTCACAAAGAAAACACTTCTTTTTGTATGCTCATTTTGACTGTTACTCTCAACCAATTTTTACTAAGTTGATCTACTGAAGACTATTTTTCCATCTGCACAACATATATCGTCAATATTTATCTTCTACGTACTCCCAATTAAATAAATAATTACATGCACCAATGTTTATAATTGTTTTAAATTTTAACTTTCCGATCCTTTAATTGACTTCTTGTTAATAGATGGATCACAATGTGGTCATCTCCGACTATGCAGCAATGGACAGGATTCTAAAAGAGGAAAGAGCTTACATACTTAACATTGCGAAGCAAATCAAGAAGGCTGGATGTACTATGTTGTTGATCCAGAAATCTATTTTAAGGGATGCCTTGTCCGATTTAGCTATTCACTTCTTTGACAAGTTGAAAATTATGGTCGTGAAGGATATCGAGAGGGAAGATATCGATTTCGTCTGTAAGGTGAGTTCAGTATTTATGCTAATTTTATTTTCATGTACATTAATGAAATATTTAAATTGAAGAACTAAATTGATAAATGATATAAACGTATAATTTCAGACTCTCGGCTGCCGACCCATTGCATCTTTGGATCACTTCACCAGCGAGGCTCTGGTCAGTGCTGAGCTAGCAGAAGAAGTATCGGCAGGATCTTCTCGTATCGTCAAAGTGACCGGAATTCACAATCCTGCGAAGACAGTAACAATTCTAGTTCGAGGATCTAACAATCTTGTCCTCGAAGAAGCTGATCGTTCTATTCACGATGCTCTTTGCGTCATCCGATGTCTTATCAGGGAAAGGTTAGATTGTTATCAATATAAAATTTAATCTCTCTATTATATAAAATAGTTTTTAATGTGTTTTATTTTATTTTAGTATCAGGAGAGGTTACAGGAGCTCTCCTATTAGTTCTAATTATACAGCTGTTCATTTAATCACATGTGTGTTGAGCTTCTGTTAGCTAATACTCTCCTAATAGAAAATAAAGATTTTAGAATAAAAATTGGTATGGAAAATGGTATTTATTCATCTGGAGATGGTAGTTCGATTTACTTAGTTGACAGCAGTTATTTTTCGATATGGACATTTCCCCTCAAATACAATATATTAATTATTATAATATTATTTATATTACATTGTGATATAATTATAACTATTGTGAAATAAATGGCTTAAATTATTGTTGGGCTTATATGAAGCTGGACAAGTTGAATATATTTTATGATCACAAATTGGCAATAAGAATAATTATAATTATATAATAATAATAGCTGATGCACCCGTCGTTGATGGCTGTATGTAATCTCTCCACTTCATTAAACTCTGCTGAGTTTATCGCTGGAAAAATAACCAAAATAACATTGGACATTGAGTCACCTACACCCGTGTAAAATTAAAACTTGATCTGAATATTGCGGCGGGCGGGGTGAATTTTCGGCTAATCCGTTAATCCTAAAAATTTGTTGAATCGAATGACACCTTGAACGGGAAGATTGGACAAAGTTGAAAAATGAATGTGTTTTACCCGTTTTATGCGACAACGCATGGCAGATGTTCGGTATTCCGGATTTTTCCTGTTGAGTTGTGATAATTTTTTCTATCAGTTGAGTAGTACAACTTTTAAATATGGCTTGGGATAGAGTAGGTTGGGATGGAAATCGAAGTAACTGCCTAACCGGGATCTCTAGACAAATTATTCAGGAATTCATAACTTGGTTCTACTCAATATTTTATTTTCATTTAAAGCCTATATTTTAAGTCAAGAAAACCAAAATATAATATCAAAATCTCAAAAGTCTACCATTAGCCATTGCCGAGCTTACCCCTCCCTGACAAAATTTTGTTGGATAATGTGGACATCCAGACAGACAAAAAAATGTTTGAAAAGGTGATTTGGTGTCTGTAATGAGTAAAACGAAAAGATATCATAAACTGCGTTGATTCTATTCAATATACAGACAAAATCTTTATTTTATTTATATAGATGTTCTTTAACCTACAAACATATGTTTATTATTAACATATAATAAATGTTAATAATAAACATATGAGTTGATAATAACAACATTAACCGAGATCTTTAGACAAATTACTCAATAATTCATAACTTCGGTTCTACTCAATATTTTGTTTTCATTTAAAGCCTATGTTTTAAGTCAAGCAAACCTTAATATAATGTCAAATGTTCAAAAGTCTACAATAAGCCATTGCTGATCTTACCTCTAACAAAATTTCGTTTCAACCCGGACATACAGTCAGACAAAAAATTTTTTAAAAGTGGATTTGGTGTCTGCAATGTATGAAGCGGAAATATATTATAAAACGGGTTGATTCTATTCAATGTATAGACAAAATCTTTATTTTATTTATATAGATAAATTGGCAATAATGGGTGATATATAATATAGATTTTTAAAGAAAGGTTTTGTTCAGTTTATTTTATGTTGATCCAAAATAATACCACGTGAACTACAGAATAAATGCAAATTAAAGTTATTAATTTGTAGTAATATAATTTGTAAAATGGGGATTGGTCCGCTGTTCGGACAGGAGGTATTTCCCTAGTATTAAGAAATTTTAATAATTATTGACATTGATTTTATTATTTTATAATTTATATTTTATTTTTATTATTTGCAGAGCTCTTCTTCCTGGAGGTGGAGCTCCCGAGATTGAGTTGTCTCTTCGTTTAGGACAGCATGCTCAGGTTTTGGGGTCGGTGGAAGCTTATTGTTTGAGGTGAGTTAAATATTTGTTTATTTCTTAAATTAAAAAATTTTGATTCTTTATTTATGTTTATTTTTTTTTAAAGTAAAATCTCAGTATTATAATACTTGGACAGTATTCTTCCTTATTTTTAATTTTTTTTATTATTTCAATGTTTGAAAATTGAAAAAGTTAACAATTCCAATAAAATTTATTTATATGTCAACTTTATCCAAAGTGTTTATAATGAAAAACTTCTACAGTAGCTTGTTATTGGAAAGAACTTTTTGTTTCCTGATAATGAGCTGTTTGAAATTTTCAAACATTGTTTCTCATCAATTAATAATATGTCATTAAAACATTTTAAAGTAGTTTTATAAATATATAAATTAACTTATGTTTAGGGAGTATGCCAAAGCTTTGGAAATCGTTCCTTACACTCTCGCTGAGAATGCTGGTCTCAATCCCGTAGCTACTGTTACGGAACTTAGGAATAAGCACGTTCACGGCCAAACCAGTGCTGGTATTAATGTTAGGAAGGTGAGTGAAAAATTTATTATTTGATTTCATTATATATATTTTTTTTTGTCATCTTATAAGTTCTTTATCAGAAAACTGGTATTTGTTTAATATCTATTAATAATTCATTTATTTTATTTTTTTACTTGGTATAATTTGTATTTTTTATACATAAAGTACAAATACAAAGTGGGTCGAAACATCGGCATAACCAATAAAATACTATTATAATATTTAGCATTTAATTTTACCACACCCACAAGCAACTCCTCATATTATAATCATGGACGACCATCACGTTACCACTATCATTTTTTTATTTAAATAGTTTTGTAACTATTTGAACTTTCATTAACTAATCTTAATTCCTAAACTAAATGAGGAACTTAAAACACTCATTAACTTTATTTCTCTCCTGTGCAATATTTGGTTTTAATTAGTTCAATAATGTGAATTTGTTTTGTATTCAATATAAACAACAAATCTTTGAACTTCCATTTGAATGTATGTAAAGCTATTATAAATGAAATAACAATAATTGCTTTCTTTTCCTCAGGGCCAGGTAACAGATATTCTTGAAGAAAATGTTCTACAGCCTATGTTGGTCACAGCAAGTGCAATCACCTTAGCGACGGAAACAGTCAGGAGTATTCTAAAAATAGATGACATTGTAAGTTATTTCTTTTCATTGTTTAATACATTATCTTAAAAGTATTATTCATTTATTGATTTTTTTTTTTTTGTTTCAGCTGAACGTCGCTCACTGAAATTAATTTTTTCATCTTATGAAAGAACCATCTTTCATACAACTAATTTTTTTTTTTTTGTTTAAAGTTGATGTATGTTTTTTACATGAATAAAAGTATTGCCTAAAATTAATTATGCACATTAAAATGTAACGATCAAATATTATTTAATAAACTAAATGTATTAACAGCTAACTTTATATTTGACCTTTTCTCATGAAGTTTGGATATTTATGTTAAGTATTTATGAAAATTTTAATATGTTGCTTGAAAGAGAATATTAAATAAAAAAGTGAATGATTCTTGGATGTTTAAAGGTTGTTGGAGTAGTAAGTTAAGTACAGGCAAACAACGTAATGGAGTCCTTTGTAGGCAGAAATAAGCTAGGAGATTATGTTCAAACATTGTTAAATTTAAAGTTTTTAATTTCCTACCTATACTAGGTAAGGAAAGTATTGCGATCAGATAAAATTTCTGATGTGCGGTTTTTGACGGTTCAGTACGTTTCAGAGCTCCCTGAGTCCGAAAAGCACATTTTTTATATACTAAGATTTGTTTAACATTATTTCAGTCACTTGCACTAATTCATAAGTTGATTGTTAATTCAATAACAAAAGGTTGCTCGAGCCTTGAAAAGGTCATCCTTAAGTTGTTTACCTATACTCGACACAGAACATCATAATTATGCTGTATTTTTAAAACATAAAATAAACAATATATCATCTGAAGTATTTTGGCTCAACAGTCCAATTTTTAAATCATTATTATACCCTGCTATTATATTACTGATATTTGTGACAATCAGTCTTCCTGTCTTCACCTTTTTACTTTCACTTAGCTTTTTAAATAAAATGTGGTTATTATTCTGATTGATGTTCTCTAACGGGGCTTAAATGGCTAATTTTCAATATTAGCTTCCTCTAAAGTACCTTTAATTTTTTTTATTTGAAACAATTGACCATTTCACATTAATTTCTAATATGAAAAATGGTTAAATATAAAATATGTAAGAATTTCATAATTAACTGAAGGAGAAACAGATCATAACGGAGAATAACTAATTGAGAAACCAAGGAAGAGAAACTCACCTGAAAGATTAGAACTCGCTTCCGTACGTATCATGAAATTAATATAATACGGACTCCAGCAATATTATATAAATATACATATGTGGCTTTCATAAATGCTATTGTTTGTATTATTTAATATTTAATTGTATATACTACAGCGATATAAATATTAAAATTTGTATATATGAGGGTATTTATACAAATAAAAGTACCCACAATGAAATATAAATAAATATAGAGTCTATAATATTTACTTTCGCTTTGCTTTGTCTGAAAATACTTATTTCTGCTAGGAAGATGGTGATAAGTGAAAGATGAAATGAAATGAAAATATTTTTTTATTATCCTGAGACTGTTGTCCCTTTAGGACAAATTACAGATACAGAATAAATGCCTGTGTGGCCATACATAAAATTAATTATTTACATTTATTATTAAGATTAAGATGTGTGATGCGTGCACACCAGATTTTTTATATTATAAACTCTATTAAATCACATTAAGAAAACTAATACTACCTGCTTTATCATATGTTCATTGCCTGCCTCATTCCACAGCGATTATATTCTTAATAATTAAATTAATTTTAATTATTCAATGAAGATTGGTATCGGACATGAAAAAAAAATACCTGTAACACTGCAACCCATTTTGAGTTCAGTGCTTAGCAAGGAAGCACCGTTTCAAAGTCAGTGGTTGTGCAGAGAGGTGATCAGAGTGGAGTCATGCTCAACCACCAGGTTTTCCTCTTTAATTAATTATTTAATTAAGATTATCTAATTTATAGAGGCTGTGAGTGTACCTCATGAGGTATGAAAGTCTTCAGATGGTAACAATCTCTAGGAACGCAAAGGTATGTAATTTAGATAATATTAATTATTAAAAAATGTATTAGAATAAATTTTATTCCTTAGAAAAACAGTAATTTTAGATGACAATGTACTTTAAAATAAGTGAAAAACAGCAAAAATATAATTAAATGTTTTTTTGTAATTTCAAAACATTAATGTAATTTCAAAACATTCTTTTTAGTGTTTCATTTTAAAGTTATTAAGTTCAGAGAAATATCATGGGTGCTAAATATTCAGGACGCAGTCATTATAAAGTTTTTATTAGTGCCAATGTTTCAACCCAAACATGTGGGGCTCGAAACAGGCTCTGATGACCCACATGTTTGGGTTGAAACGTCGGCACTAATAAAAACTTTATTATGACTGCATTCTTAATATTTATCATCCATGATATGTAGAACAGTCAACTAACTTCCTTCAATACTTATAATTTAGTTATTTGAAGTATATTTAATTTATTATTAATGAATAATTTAGAGAAATATGTTTCCTATAAAAGCTATATTAAATTTTGTGTATTAAAGCAACAGGAACACTTCTTAGCAGAGACGTCCAGATTTTAGATTTGAATCTTGCAGGAAGGACCTTAAATATTGTGAGGGAAGCTTTTCAGGCATTGGAGAAGTCTGCAACTAACTACCAGTGAAGATGACGAAAGTACAATCCTTCATTTACTCAGGATCTCAGATTAATTAAAAGAACAGCTTAGAAGAAGAAATTAAGAAAAGGATGCTCTCAGAAAACCACAGTTATTTCATTTCTCCAAAATACTTATGAAGCATTGCATTACACAAGACCTGAAAATAAAGTATATCCAAAACAATTATCCAACCAGAACTTATATGTCGCTCAAAATGTTGACCTAAAAAATAAAAAGCTTTCTCAAGGCAAAAGAGTAAACAGGCAGTCTATGACAACAAGTGGTTCGTTCATAATGCTGAATTATAAAATTATTACAATTTTCAGTAGATGTACTGAATAAATGGAGATAATATAGTTTGCTCAAAAGAATATAACAGAAAAAATGTTCCCTTTCCATAAATTAATTTACCTGATGAACGATAGAACTATAATTGAAATGTTTGTTTCATTTTCCCTTAAATATAAATTTTATAATTGAACTTTAAAAGTATTTGGAGAGGAATGTTAGTTTCGATTCAGTGTCATGTGTATTTTTACAAAAAGAAAGTGCAGTTATCTACTTTACAGTTTTGTCCTTATCTACTAACATATAATAAATACAATTTTAAATTAAGTTTAATAACATTTTAACTTAATTTGTATTTATTTTGTAAATTAAAAATATAATTATTACTGAAGATTGTAAATTTATCCACTATTATTTATGATTTAATTGTTATTATTTATATGAAATGTTTTATTTTGTAACAGTGATACAATCACAATCTGAGGTGTATTAAAGCATAAATTGTGATCTATACAATAAACCTTTAGATGTAACACCAGCATACACAATGATCTGAGACATCAAAGCCAGAATAGTACTGTTGTTGTTTTTTTTTTCATTATTTCTATTTTTTTACATTAATTTTATCCTTCATATAATATTTATGGAGTGTGGAATAAACACATATAATGTAATTATGAATAAATTGAATTTTTCTTTAGTAAACTGTTATAATTACAATTTCTCATTTTATTGTTTCAGTTAAAAGCTAGTTATCCACACTATATAAATAATGTTTGAATCAGTTTTCTTTATATTTTCAGAATTAATTTTCTAGTAATTAGAAATTTTTAAGCAGAATATTCATCATTGTTGAACAAATCAACTTTCTTAATGTTCAAGATCTCTCTAATGGATTGTGTTTGTTAGATAATTGTATTGTATTGTATTCATATTATACAGGAATATTGTAACCAACGAGAAAGTATCTTTATTTTTGTTCAACAAACACAGAAGATCAATATACAATTAAGAAGAACCATGAATTTTGTTATATCTTAAAGAAATGTAAATTAATTCATCAGTTTTGCTATTGTAGAAGACCTAGTTTGTAAATTGAAAAATATTAGTTTTATGAACTAAACATTGACTTAAAATTGCTGTACATTCACTATTTTTTTATAAGTTTTTATGTATATGAATTTAACTTAGGTATTTGTATTCTTTACTTAGTAAATGTATGTGATAAATGAGAAAATTGTAGTGTATTATAAATAGTTATTTTTATTTCTCTTAATGTTGTTTGTAATTTTGTAAAATATATAATAAATAAACTTGTATAACAGTTTTATATATTACATTAGAGATAATATAGTTTGCTCACATGAATATAACAGAAAAAATGTTCCCTTTCCATAAATTAATTTACCTGATGAACGATAGAACTATAATTGAAATGTTTGTTTTATTTCTTCTTAAATATAACTTTTATAATCGAACTTTCAAAGTATTTGGAGAGGAATGTTAGTTTCGATTCAGTGCCATGTGTATTTTTACATAAAGAAAGTGCAGTTATCTACTTTACAGTTTTGTCCTTATCTACTAATATATAATAAATACAATTTTAAATTAAGTTTAAAAAACGTTTTAAGTGTAATTTTAATTTGTAAATTAAAAATATAATTATTATTGAAGATTGTCAATTCATCCACTATTATTTATGATTTAATTGTTATTTATATGAAATGTTTTATTTTGTAACAGTGATACAATCACAATCTGAGGTGTATTAAAGCATAAATTGTGATCTATACAATAAACCTTTAGATGTAACACCAGCATACACAATGATCTGAGACATCAAAGCAAGAATAGTACTGTTGTTTGTTTTCATTAATTTTACCCTTCATATAATATTTATGGAGTGGAGAATAAACACATATAAAGTAATTATGAATAAATAGAATTTTTATTCAATAAACTGTTATAATTACAATTTCCCATTTTATTGTTCCAATTAAATGCATAAAGTTAGTTATCCACAGTTTTATTTCTATTTTCAGAATTAATTTTCTAGTTATTAGAAATTTTTAAGTAGAATGTTCATCGCTGTTGAACAAATCAACTTTCTTAATGTTCAAGATCTCTCTAATGGATTGTGTATGTTGGATGATTAAGGAAATTTTCATCATAAGCAGAAATATTGTAACTGACGAGCTAGTATCTTTATTTTTGTTCAACAAACACAGAAGATCAATATAAAATTAAGAAGAAACATGAATTTTGTTATATCTTAAAGAAATGTAAATTAATTCATCAGTTTTGTTATTGTAGAAGACCTAGTTTGTAAATTGAAAAATATTAGTTTTATAAACTAAACATTGACTTAAAATTGCTGTACATTCACTATTTAGTTTTTATGTATATGAATTTAACTTAGGTATTTGTATTCTTTACTTAGTAAATGTATGTGATAAATGAGAAAATTGTAGTGTAGTATAAATAGTTATTTTTATTTCTCTTAATGTTGTTTGTAATTTTGTAAAATATATAATAAATAAACTTGTATAACAGTTTTATATATTACCACCCAAATTTTCCATAATAAATAAAATTTGAATTTTAGACAGTGTGTTTTTCTACTATCCTCTTTTTTTATTCAAAAAGAAAAATAATAGAAGTAAATAACGATAAATTAAGCAATGAGGATATAAATAAAGTAAAATAATATGTATCTCTATTAT